ATGCATTAAGATCACCGATCACTTCACGTGCACTTCCGCCAATGTAATCTATTGCATAACTTGCACTTATTACAAAAAGATATACATCGGCGAAACAGGCAGAGGACTAGGTGACCGATTCCGAGAATACCTTCGAGACGTGGAAAGGAGTGACAAGGACACATCGAAACCAGTCGCTAGACATTTTAATTTACCTAATCATTCTAAGTAACATATGGCAATCTGCGGCCTTTCCTTACACTTAGGTAGCAAGGAAAGCCGTAAAACTCTTGAACAAAAGTTCATCTTTCAAACCGGCAGTCTAAATCCCACAGGTATCAACGAACGCTTTTCATTCCACTAATTCATTCGTGTTTTTCTCGTTGCCGTGCTCCCACCAATAACGGTAAGCTCCATTTTACGCCTTTAAAAGCACACACAACCCACAATTCCTCTATTCGCTCCGACGAAGGGCTAACGCTCGAAACATCAGCTTTAGTAATCGTTACGGTGGCCAGTTTACCATTTCGACTTTGTTGATATATTCAAATTAAAACTATCTAAATGATATCCAGGCATCTTGACCGCACCAACTTGATGTAATAAGAGTCAAGAATGACTTGTTTCTGTGGAGAACCGGGAAAGAAATCGGAGCGTGTTTGTAGCACAATGAGTACATCTGGGGAACTCACGAGAGTCGTTTAATTTTTTCTTTGTTTTGACTGTCTTCCAACACTTTCTGCAACTCCATCGCTGACATAGTCGAAAAAGCTACGAACTTTGTAAGTCCGCTCCACACAATTTTTTTCTTGCTCGGGATCAAAGCGGGCAATCCCAAGCGGGCAAGATGGGCCCATCTTGCCCGCGTTGGTAGCCAACAGAAGACTGGTACAGGATTTGCTTCATATTGCCCACCTGTGCTGTCAACTGCACAATAAAGAGAATCAGGCTAATGACATAGTGGCAGTGAAAGGCTTAATAAGAACACTGACAACCTCAGCTAAGTATTCTGTTTATAAAAGGCAGTTCGCAGGGAAATTGGAGACTAATAGGCAATATACCATCAAAACAGAAATCATTTGGAGGACTGAATCAAAGGCAAAATCTGTTTAATATCAGTTGTCGTGGTTTAGAATACAAATTGAAATTAAGTATTACACACTTTTCTTTCAAGCCTTGAAGGACATTTGTCCGAAAACTGTCCAAATTACATGTACTTTGAAAGGTTGCGTACAAGATTGAAATTGTAAATAAAATCCTGACAAGCTCAAGCCTGCCGTTGAAATTAACCCCTGCACTGACATGCTAGCTGATATCGCCTCTGAGAACCAAGGGCGAAGCTCATAAAGGTTGCATCATTCGGCATGTAGGGTTTCTTAAACATTCTGCAATTTCTACGTCTGAAGTTTTCAGCTTTGATTTTACTCCGGTCGTTCTATGGTAATTACTGTTACCATTTACATGGACTTACATTTATATTTAAGTCAGTTCCTTTCCTGCTCATGAATTTATTATTTTGTAAAAGTGTGATTTGGACTCAAGGATTAATGGAACTGGTTTTTAAGTTGGATCAACACACAAGAAGTTACTCCAACCTACTAATTTTTCATGCAAGTTGACTGCTATACAGCAGCTGCTTATCATTTAACCTTTGAACTGTTCGTTATCTCTTTGCTTCTTCCAAATCAGGAAAGTGAATGAATTTATTCGGTTTTAAGACATTCTCTCTTTAGAGGAAAATAGCAAGGAACTGCAGATTTATCAATGTTTCCTAAATTTTCCCACTCACCCAGCGGAACACGATACAGCTTCCCTGGTGGAATTCTTATCCCACTGTCAACTAGAAAATTAGTTATGATAAAGTACAACCTGCCATCTATTTCCACTGCATTGAGATTGTTAGCGGGAATACGTTTTTGCTTAACAAAAAACCAGGTGTTGGTTTCCTCATTAAACATTTCCACTGGCGCTGGTGTACCGTATGGACTGAGACTGTTAAGAAGATTACAATAGCCCCCAGCAGCACAGAGTTCGCGATTTACTTCGAAAAGCCTGGATCCAAAGTGAGGGTAACAGGTTGTTGCCTTTTCTTCCCACTCATTCTTAGCTGAGTCGAAACATTGTAGCACTGCCTGCTGATATTTTCTTCCTGCTTGGCGCATATCGCCACAAAGGACAATTATTGTTACCTTTGAATGAACTATTGATCCAAAATTGCGAGCCTGATAGGTACAATTTGAGTTCAGTTTTGCAATACTTTGCCACTGCCTTTTAGCAATGTAGTATCTTTGAGGAACCTGGTCTGAATAAGAATAGCATAAATATAGTCCCCTAAAACACATCAATTGTTAACTGAATATGTACCGGACGAAAACTGCTTTGTCTCCCAAGCATTTCTCTCCGTGTCGTAACGATAAAGGGAAATATCATAATCGTTAGCTGATCCTGCTACAAACAAGTCGCAGC